GAATTGTTTGAACCCAAGAGGAGGAGATTACAGTGAGCCGAGATTGCACCACTGCACTCCAGCCTGGGTAACAGAGCGAGACTTCATCTCAAAATAAATAAATAAACAAATAAAACTGGCTTCAATATAAAACTTGATTGCGTTTCTTCATGCTATTTCCTTTAAGTGCCTACCAATTTCAGTATATGTTGGAAGCAATAATAAAGTTTGAATTGCTAAGTCTTTTCTCTGTCTGAGGAGGGCAATATAAAGTAATACAGTAGCGGTTTGGATTTGAATTTGAATCCCAGCTCTGCTATTTACCACCTGGGTGACCACAGGCAGGTTAATTGCCTCAGTTTCCTCTTTAAAATGGGGACAATAGTTTCCTCAAAGGGCTGTGGTGAGTATTCAATGAAAGGATACATTTGAAACCCTTGAGCCTGGCAGCGTACAGTAAATTCTTAATAAATTTTAGCTATTATGGTGATGATGATTATTTAAAATTGAATCTTTAGCCTGAATACCACCAACACAGCTGAGCAACTTTTCTACTTCCATTTATTGTAATGAGTTTTAAGGCATAAGCAAGAGAAGCAAAAGAAAGGATAAAGAGAGCACACAGAAGGGGAAGTGATACAGAGAGAGGTCATGAAGAGAAGCAGCACAGGAGAAAATGAACTGTATGTGGGTGGGATGCACAGTGACCACCTGGGGTACTATAAGTTGCCTACCTCTTTTCTGCCTGCTAGTGGAGCCAAAACCCTAGCTATTTTTCTCACCTTTGCTTCATTCCTGTGTTCCCTTAACTGCTGCTTTTCATTGTTCTGTGGAAAATGAATACAATTTTTCTAATCTCAGAAAGAAGTGGTAAAAATTATTAACTCCTAAGCACTTAGATTTTTTCTTGATGAAAGGTACCATGCATTACAATGCTTTCTATGAATTAAATGCCCCTTTCTAAAGTAATAGTCTTGCCTGGCATGGTGGCTCAGGCCTGTAATCCCAGCACTTTGGGAGGCTAAGGTGGGCGGTTCACGAGGTCAGGAGTTTGAGACCAGCCTGGCCAATATGATGAAACCTCGTCTCTACTAAAAATGCAAAAAAAAAAAAAAATGAAAAAAAAAAAAAAATTGGTCATGCATGGTGGCGCATGCCTGTAATCACAGCTACTTTGGAGGCTGAGGCAGAAGAATCGCTTGAACCCAGGAGGTGGAGGTTGCAGTGAGCCGAGATCGCACCACTGTACTTCAGCCTGGGTGACACAGTGAGATTCTGTCTCCAAAAAAAAAAAAAAAAAAAAAAAAAAAAAAAAAAAAAGTAATAGTCTTAAAGTTTACATAAAAACCACAAACTTGTGTCTGCATATAACAGTATGAACATTAAAATCATATTTAAAGAATTAATAGACACAAGCAATTTAACCCAAGAGACTTTCTCAATAACATATAACTATTTTGGTAAATCCTAAGAAACACATGACTCGTTAAATAAAATTTATGATCAGATGAACAGCAGAAAAAAAACAAATTTATATTAGAAATAAAGATTAACTCTGCTTTCAACTCAGAGTGGAAAATCAGAACTAATATTGCCCATTCTGATTATTTTGTTCCTGTAAAGTTCTATCAAGGTCTCATTAATATAAATACCTTAACTACTTTATCTCAACAATTTTCTATAAAATGTAATTTAATGGTATATTCTTATTCTTGCTTTGAAATTACACTAGTCTCTTCCTTCTATGGAAGGCAATTTCTCTGATATATAATAGAAAATCAAAGCAGATTACTAGAGACAAGAGAAAAGAGGGCACGAGCATAATAAGTTCTGTTACGAATGTGGACTGTAATTCAGGCACTATGCAACATTACCTGGAAAACAACATGGCTAGCATCTTTCCTTGGTTGAAATGGTTCATTTCTCTAATGTGCTTCAAGAACCAATCGTAAATCAGGTGTCTTGATGCCCAAGTTAATCAAGAACCATATCAGTAATTCTCTAACATTTGTATTTGAATTATAAGGAATTAATTTAAAAATAGATAATGCATACAGTATATCTGTGTATATACACATACGTATATTTACATGCCCAGTACCAATGCCACCAGAGATTTTGATTCAATAGGTCTCGGGAATGGCCTGGGAATCCATATTTTAAAAAGTTTCTCAACAGTTAATAGCATAGCTAAAAAACGTTGAAGATAATAAATAAAATTTTAAAAGTGAAAAGTTCCCCAGATGATTGCATGTGCAACCAAGCTAAAAACTACTCACTTAGATAACATGAAGAATCATATAACACTATAATTATTTATCTAATGAAATAACTTTGTATCACTTGTAGTAATACCTCATAGTTGTAATATGGCTGGTTAATAATTCCTGCTATGGCTTTTCCTTCGTAAGCAATTCCAATAAGAACTGTTACATTATCAAGTAGACCTGTAAAGAAGAAATAAATGTCAATTATATAACTTGCTCATGTTATGACTCATCATTATTACATCAATTGCTCAAAGTTATTTTTGCAGTTAAGCAGTTCACAGATGAGGGGAGAGTGAGTGAGACGGGCATGGGATGGTGGAGGTGGCAGAGCACGAGCTACACAGCTGTGCTGGTTATCATTTTTCTACCCCATTAAAGCTGGGGGTTCAGTACAGGTTTCCCTTTGGTAACAATGGTTTACTATATTAGTTATTCTCGTCTGGGAGACATTAGAAGTGTGGCGCTGGTAGAGTATGTGGGGAGTGGTATTTGAAAAGATGAATTTCCTTCCTCTGTCTTGATAATCAGTGATGTATGATAACCAATGACCACAAATGTAGCTTTAGAGCAAAACATAACACATGATACTAGCTTTCCATGCAACATACAAAATATCAAATATTTACAACTAAATATCATATCCTTGTCCTGCTGTCAAATATGAATACAAAAGAGATACCAACCTTCAGTATACTCCTTGGTTCCATCCAGAGGATCAACCCAGACCACAAGCTAAAATTAAAAAGAGAGAAGGAAAATATCTAAATCAAGCATACAAAATTCTAAAAATTGATTTAGATGGATCAAAATTACTCTTCTTTTTTCCTTTTTGATATATTATGGATGGCTAAAGTTAATGTCATCTGTTTTTAAATAGTACAAAAACCACATTCTTTTGTAATCATGGAAGAATTCCATTTGAATAAAAGTCTGATTTAAGAATTTTCAACATAAAATGCTTAACTAATAAAAGGTTGTTGTCATTTGAATACTAAGCACAATGAATATACTGATCTCTAGATCATAGTACAGGGAAAATTTGTAAAGTGGCATAAAAAATGTTTTGAGCATGTATAGCTGCCACTCATTTTTATATATAAGTGCTGATTTAAAAAAAACGACAGTCTGGGAGCCATGGTGACTCAGGCCAGTTTTCCTGGCGCATGAGGAGGTGAGGCTACGCATTCCAGGCCAGCCTGGGCAACATAGAAACCACTCATCTATCAAAAAAAAAAACAACAACAGTCTGATTATCTTAAGGGCACAGTCCATATAATCCAGTGAAAAATGAACGACTAATAAAACTGGCAGCAGATTTAAAAGGAAAATTCCTTCTGTTTAGTACATTTAACATGATTTGGGATTTGCTGCTTTAAACACTAGAATTATAAAATGATGTGAATTTATGGGTTCGGGCATGTTTCTGATAGAGAGCACCATGTCTCATTTTCTTTGTTTCCTCCATACCACAGAGCAACGTGTCTTACTCATAGTAAGTCTCCAATGAGTATGCATTAAATGATTAAAAATTAGAAAACTGGCTGGGTGTGGTGGCTCACACCTATAATCTCAGCACTTTGGGAGGCCGAGGCAGGCGGATCACCTGAGGTCAGGAGTTCAAGACCAGCCTGGCTAACATGGTGAAACCCTGTCTTGAAAAAGAAATTAGAAAACTAAGGAAGTTATGGTGGCTAACTGAAGTCACAGATTTAACTTAAGCAACTATAAAAAGCAAGCAGGATGATATTTATGGCCTTCTAAAAATATGAGGTACCAACCTGTTTTATAGCCTTCTATCCCTAATTACCAATGAATGTTTTACTACCAAATCTACTAAATAACAAATTAGATTTTCTTCCTAAAAGTATTTTTTATTTTTAATGAGACAGGTTCTCACTCTGTTGTTCAGGCTGGAGGGTATGTGTAAAACCGTACAAGGT